TGGGAGGTTGCCTGTTTTGGGCGACGGGGGTTCTGAGCATTACCAGGGCCCCTCCCCCCCACCCCCGTGGAATAGATATTTTGTGGTGCTTATGACAGTTTATTAGATTCCAAATGTACCCCCAGGCCCCCAAAGGTTGTTGTTGATAGTATCTCTAAATCACACTTCATGCTGTAGGATCTCAGGGTGGTCTACAGCAATTAGAAGAAACTCACTGTTCCCTTAACATTACAGAGGAGCAGCAATGGCTCAAAAGGAATCACAGCCAGTTCTTTGCCCCAGCACCAAGGAATGAATTTCTACAGGAACTCCACTGGCTGATTCATTTGCAAGGTTCTTTGTGTGTTCCCATGACTCACTCTTTTCCTAAAGCTCTGATTGAATGTAGCAACAAGATGCTGTGATTCAGGAGTTTTTGGCTTTTGTAAGTTTAGCACTGTGTAAACCAGAAATGAGGAACCTTTGGGCTTCTGGATGTTGTTGAACTACAGCTCCCATCATTGCTGACCTTTGGCCAGCTGACTGGGACTGATGGGAGTTTAAGTCCAGCAACATCTGGAGAGCCACATCTTCCCCACCCCTGGCACAAATTCTTACAGCACAATCCTAACCATGCCTACTCAGAAGTAAGTCCTATTGAATTCAATGGGGCTTACTCCCTGGATAAATATAGTTAGGATTGCAGTCTAAAATAATCTTGTGTGTGTACACTGTAATCTACTATATATTTTGGAAAGTTGTTTATTTTCTTGTTATACATTTGGACAGCACTCAAGATATAATAACCAAACTTTGCACGATGGTTCCTGAGTTCAAGGAGTAGTTTTATTTGGATGCCATTTTGAATCAAGATCACAGACTGAACATTTAAAAACTGCACTGACCTTAACCAGTGATTTCAAAACTGCAGCAATATTTTGGTTTCTTAGAATTCCCAAGCAACACTAGGTACAAGGGGGCTAGGGCACTATATAAACAATACCTTCACAGCCCCATTGCAGTCTATGGACTTAAAGCTAGGCAAAAAACTAGCTCTTCTGCATTTGGATTTATTTCTGTATTCTGTATACTTTTTGTATAATTGTCACAAACAATTTGTACATATGCCAGCTTAGATCTTTTTGTACCTGCTCCACCTTCTGTTATTTTTATTAGCAGATAGAAATGGAGGTTGGAGGAAAAAACCAACCTCCTCTCAGAAGTATAGCAGCTAAAGTGATAGCTTTGTGCTTAGGCTGGCCCTGGTCTTAAAAGTATCTGTTGTGATTTGGAACAGATCAGAACAATGTTTTTAAAAATGTTTACACAGGTCTTCTTGAATGAAAAGATGATATGGCAGAATTAGATAAGATGTCAGGAGGTAATGTATGAAGAGGTTAAAAGACTGTGAGAATACAAAGGAGAAAATGATAAACTTGTGCCAAAGGCATTTAAAGCCATATGAACCATATAACCTTTTTGGTACACCTCTTCAGTTGAAAAGGACCTTATTCCTCACAAAGAGCTCCAGTTCCAGAGTTCCCTGGGAAGAAGGTTTGACCAATAAACCACTCTGGAAACTGTATCTCTGTGAGGGGAATAGTAGTCTTAGAATCACACAATCGTAGAGTTGAAAGGTACCCCAAGGGTCATTTAGTCCAACCCCCTGAATTGCAGGAGTATCAGCTAAAGCATCCATGTCAAATGGCCATCCAACTTCTGCTTAAAAACCTCAAAGGAAGGAGAGTCCACAACCTCCTGAGGGAGATCATTCCACTGTTGAACAGCTCTTACTGTCAGAAGGTTCTTCTTGATGTTTAGTCAGAATCTCCTTTCTTGTAACTCGAAGCCATTGGTTTGAGCCCTACCCTCCAGAGCAGTAGAAGACAAGCTTGTCTTCTAGCACCTCTCAGCACTGGCACTGAATTGGGGGCTTGCATACTCACAGCGAGGTGGTGTGCGCTTCCTTTAAGAATCCTCTGGCTTTCCCCCTCTGTGGGAAACTGTGAGGGCTGTTTCCAGCATAATGCTTGGAACTCATGGATAGACTTTTATAAAAAACGATCACACAGGCTCTTCAGTTTGAGATATTACATGGGGATTAGCAGCTTTCTCAGCTGATTGGTTGAACGCAGACAATGACTGTGCTGGAAAAAAACCTGATATAAGAGAGCTTTGCCTTGCTAGTTCTTGTTTGCTTCTAGTAGAGTATTATGTGGTGTGGTGATGCCTTCATGTGGAAACTGGAGGGATATGCAAGAAAAGAATCTGTGGGAAAGAACTAAGGCAGAGGCACAGAACTTTTATAGGATGTAATATGCAATTTTCTCATGAGATAAGAGCTCCACAACTAATTCACCTTGGCAACAACATATCTGGGATTATATCATTCAGCATACTGGAAATTGCGAGCCCACACACTAAAACCCTGTCCCTGGCACCCACCACCCAGAAATGAGATATGGAAATAATGTATGGGTTTAAAATTAGGCCACAACTTTATTAAATTCAGGTGTAGGAACCTTGGCTTAGGCCTTGGAAGGTATCCCTCTCATACCCAACAGGGGCTGAGGATGCGCAGGGCAGTCAGGTGAACTGGGAGGGGACTGTAAAGCATGAATTTACACAGCGTGCCCTCCCAGTTCACCAAAGCCGGGAGTCTGACCTATATGCCGCCGCTATAGGGCCAGTGACTCCCACAATCAACCCTTTAACGGGCCCTGCAAATGCTGCCGCATGGGGGTGCATCAATATGCTGCCCCTGACTCACAGATAGACTACAGTGGTACCTTGGTTTACGAACTTAATCTGTTCTGGAAGTCCGTTCTTAAACCAAAGCGTTCTTAAACCAAGGCGTGCTTTCCCATAGCAGTGGGGGACTCAATTTACAAATGGAGCACACTCAACAGGAAGCTAAACATGTTCTGCTTCTAAGGCAAAGTTCGCAAACCAAAACACCTACTTCCAGGTTTGCAGCGTTCTTAATCCACGTTGTTCATAAACTAAGCTGTTCTTAAACCAACTGCATAGACTACCAACCAAGGTCTAAAACTGCCACCCGAGACCCCAACTGGGGTCTTGCCGCCGAGATACCTACAGCTGAATATCCTCTCCGTCAGAGAAAGACTACACCCTGCCACCCACCAGTCCCTGAGGCCCTGGAGCACATCGCTCAACCAAAGATTGTTGCCATTGGGGGTCAAATGTACTCCAAAGTAGTTAGTTATCAGGAGAATAGTATACTAAGTTCATATATATCACATGTCAGGAGGTCTAGTGATAGACGCCTTGGCTCCATCAGGACCTGGCAAGGTTTGGCAGCTTCAGATGGACCAAGAGGAGGAAGACAAAGGAGCAGATGGAGGGCTGAAAGGCTGGCACCCAAGGGTGTAGGAAAGAGGTCCTCTGCTTGTGACTCTGTATGACAGGGAGAGAGAGAGAGAGAGAGAGAGAGGCAGATTTCCTGGCTTTCTCTTCTACCCCTCCAGTGGAGTACAGAGCCTCATCAGGGAGCGGGGCAGACTTCAACAAGCCAGAGAGAGGGGCTCATGGTGGTGGAGGAGGAGCTGGAGGCAGAAGGGCAGGACAGTGTTGTCACTGAAAGTCAAGCACTGCCTTGATGGGTGTGAGATCAAACACAACTGCCCAGATGTAGCAGACATCTGGTGTGTGCAGCAGATTTACAGGGTGAGAGAGTCCCACAAGTGAGCTCTCCCTGCCTCACCTTTAAAAGCTTAGCAGGAGGGGTATGTCAACTGTTGGGACATCTTTAAGGCTTCCATTCACTTATGCATTTCTTGCTTTGGTCATGGAACCTTGACTTCTGGATCATGTGCTTGTTATCTGCCACTTAGTATGGGAAGCGGTTTGTCTGTGGGTTGGTTTGTTCTCTGTGTGTTTGGAAGCCTCTTGAGATATCATCAGAAAGCTTGGCATGAGGGTTCCTGAGGTGGGGGAAAGCACTCTTCATCAACATTTGGATGCCAGCTGCCATTTTGAATCACAATTGCAGACTAAAATGTGACTTTTTAAAATGAAGGCTGTTTCCAGAATGGGTCCATTGGTTCATTCATATTGGTTCATTCCTATCTGATTTGTCAGTGTGTGAAATAGGCATGTGAGGCGTATGTCTTACACTTTTCACAGGTATTCCACCGTTTCCCATGCACACCAGGGGTGGTCCATGCTGTGTATTTTAGCCCCTTCCCTCATTAACTACACCTCTGCCTTTCACCACCTTTTCCTGTTGTGGGCATGCATTCAGGTATTTCTGTACCTCTGAGTGCACTCCTTTAAATCCACTCCACACAGGAAGAGAGCATAAGAGCAAAAGCTACCAGCCTTTTGTTATCATGTTCCACGATGAACACAATGGAGGCTTGTGCTTTGGGTGCATGTGTGTGCAGGGAGAAGCCAATATCCATTTTAGATTGAATAATAATACTAATAGTACTAATAGCACACATATATTATAGTAAAGGTAAAGGGACCCCTGACCATTAGGTCCAGTTGTGACTGACTCTGGGGTTGCGGCGCTCATCTCGCTTTATTGACCGAGGGAGCCGGTGTACAGCTTCCAGGTCATGTGACCAGCATGACTAAGCCGCTTCTGGCGAACCAGAGCAGCACACAGAAACACCGTTTACCTTCCCACCGGAGCGGTACCTATTTATCTACTTGTACTTTGACGTGCTTTCGAACTGCTAGGTTGGCAGGAGCAGGGACCGAGCAACGGGAGCTCACCCCGTCGCAGGGATTCGAACTGCCAACCTTCTGATCGGTAAGTCCTAGGCTCTGTGGTTTAACCCACAGCGCCACCCATGTCCCTTATATTACATATATTATACAAGACTCTTAACAACGCTGAAGTTCTGATGAAAAAAAGGTTGTGATGGACACACCCTGGGTCAGGCTCCTAGTGACCCAGCAACCAATCAGAGCCAGTTATAATGCAGCCAATCAGAAGGGGCTGGTGAGTCAAAAAATTGGAACTTTACAGTTAAACTGTCAGACAGGAATCAATTGGGGTTGGAAAAGTGCCTAGTTAGGGACCAGGGAGAAATAGGGATTGGGGTTGGCTATGCAAGGCAACCTGGTTTAATTCCCCGAGAGAAAGTAAGAATACTAGAAGGGCCTCAGAAAGCATTGCCGGTGTAGTAATATTTATAGCTAGTGTGGAAATCGTCCATCCTGAGACAAGTTTTAAATTGTACTGAATAAGGTTTTATAGTTTTCTGTAAAGTGTGTTTGCCTGAAGCTAAGAATTGTGCCTCTCATGCATAATCTCACTGAGTGCAATTAAATAAAAAGTCTACGTTTGTTTCAGAAGTGCCTCCTCATATTTCAAACCACTTGCTGTGAGGAATAAGTGGACACAGGGCATCCTTCACACAAGTAAAACACTGGTTGCAGTATAATAAAGAAATGATACCACAAACAGTTTCTAACAAGGAGAGTTGAAACTTTTGAACACCCAGAAAATCCAGCTCCCATCTTCCGTGAGGGAGTCTGTCACAGAGGTCTTGCCAAGACATTGGTATTGAGTGCAGGGGGTGGAGGGAGGCCATATTTATGTACTTTTTTAAAAAGTCTCCAAGTAATTTCCACATGTGTTGAGATCTGGAGAAAAGAGCCCCTTCAAATGTTGTTGTTGTTGTTGTTTAGTCGTTTAGTCGTGTCCGACTCTTCGTGACCCCATGTACCAGAGCACGCCAGGCACCTCTGTCCTCAACTACCTCCCGCAGTTTGGTCAAACTCATGCTGGTAACCTCGAAAACACTATCCAACCATCTCATCCTCTGTCGCCCCCTTCTCCTTGTGCCCTCCATCTTTCCCAGCATCAGTGTCTTCTCCAGGGAGTCTTCTCTTCTCATGAGGTGGCCAAAGTACTGGAGCCTCAGCTTCACGATCTGTCCTTCCAGTGAGCACTCAGGGCTGATTTCCTTAAGAATGGATGCGTTTGATCTTCTTGCAGTCCATGGGACTCGCAAGAATCTCCTCCAGCACCATAATTCAAAAGCATCAATTCTTCGGCGATCAGCCTTCTTTATGGTCCAGCTCTCACTTCCATACATCACTACTGGGAAAACCATGGCTTTAACTATACGGACCTTTGTTGGCAAGGTGACGTCTCTACTTCTCAAGATGCTGTCTAGGCCTGTCATTGCCCTTCTCCCAAGAAGCAGGCGTCTTTTAATTTCGTGGCTGCTGTCACCATCTGCAGTGATCATGGAGCCCAAGAAAGTAAAATCTCTCACTGCCTCCATTTCTTCCCCTTCTATTTGCCAGGAGGTGATGGGACCAGTGGCCACGATCTTCGTTTTTTTTGATGTTGAGCTTCAGACCATATTTTGCGCTCTCCTCTTTCACCCTCATTAAAAGGTTCTTTAAATAGTTTCTTCAAATGGGGGTTGTTAAAGTCCTTGAAATCTCACTTTGATGGCTGTTTTTTTTACCATCAAGCTATATGGAAATTTTGTGAAATGCCTAAATAACTTAATAAATTATCTTCCTTGGTTGCTTCCAGACGGAGATTGTCTGCTCTGTGCTGCATTTCTGCGATCCCAATGCACATTACCTTGCTACTATTGTGGGATACAAAAGTGATTAACAGATTTGTAACAAATGCATGTAGACTCTTCCCCCATTCCTCTTCTTTCTGGAGCTAAGTTTAAAATATTGAAAAGAATGTCAGCCTTAAGTTTTCATCTTAAGCATAATCTAAAGGAAGTAATCAGATGAACTCAGTGAGATTTAAATTGTGGATGGACATGCTCTGATAGAACAGGCTACTTGCGCCCAAGTGCTTGCAGTGAACTAGTCATACTGATGCTTCAGCATCAGGCACATCACCAAAAAAGAAGAAACACATAAACAAAAGAGGACGAAAGAGGACACAGATTTGCATAAAATTAGGATGTGCTAATTTATATGCATAGATGCAAATTTAGAAATCGTTACTATAATTTAAATAGCAATACAATACTTCCCAGCAATGTGGGGAAGACAGTAGTCAGGTGACCTGTGCACCTGCTCAGTCTGCTGTCCAGGTACAAACTGTGGATAGTAAATTTCATGGCTTCTCCATCTTTAAATCAGAGTTGGACTGCTGAGCCCTTCAGACAGAGGACATTCTCAAACAGGGCTGATGTCTGATGGCCCTTCAGAGAGAGGAGTGTCCTCTGCAAAGTAGGACACACAACCACCCTGTTGTCTTGTTAAACTGCTTTGTATTTGCCTTTCACTTTAAAAATAAAGTGCATGTTACAATAATGTCACTTTCCGGTTGGCATTCTAGTTCAATAGGTGCTGATCTCTAAACGGCAGCAAGATGGCGATGGAGAATAAGGAAACAGAGGATACATGTCGGAAAAAGAAGGGCCTGAGCTATAGCTGCCCTATAACAAAGCCTCTTGCCCAGGGAGCCTCAAATGAAATTACTGCACTACACAAGTCTAAGGGTCTAATGACATATGATATGTGATCACTCAACCTCCTGCAGTTTTTATTTAAAAGGTTAATAGCAGGCGCCTTTTTGAAATTAGAACCAGTTCACACAGCCCCTTGGGCTTGTGGCAAACCTGCCCATTTTCATTCTGAGGGCAAAGAGTGCTTATGATAAACCAGTTCTGTGAATGGCTCTTAATAATAACAGCAGGCTATTAGCTATGATCGTCCAATGGAATCCGCTGAGGGCCAGGTGCCAGAGGACAAACAATGGGGAAGACTGATGCCTTCACACCCCACTCATGGGCTTCCAAAAAGCATTTGAGTGATGGCTTCTGGAAGCAAGGTTCTGAAACAGATGGATCCTGGGTGTCTGATCCAATTGGGCTTGTCTTCTGTTTTGAGACTAAAAGTTCCCTTATCACTTAAACCCTCACAGCAGGAGCATAACTGAAAAATTGGGATCTGAAATTCATGATGCGCCACCCACATGCCCAGTTCACCACAAGCACATTTTGTACCTGGGGCAAGCGGGGACAGTTTGTGATTCTTGCCCCAACAACTACTGTATGTCCATTGCCGTTTCAGGCGCTATGTGGCAATGTGCGTGTTTCAAGCACCTACTGGACACTGCCTTGAAAATAAACAATTGTGAGTATTGCAGCCCACCTAAAAAAACAACAACCTGCATTACATCATATTCATATGAAAAGTTTCTAAAAGCTGTTATTATTATTATTTTTTAACAGACTGACTGTTTATGAATTACCACCCTGGCATGAAAACGAACCTATCCCCCCCCCCCCCGTTTTTTAAGGCAAGTGAATGCAAGGTGTTTCTGTAGCAATGGCTCACAAACATTTGCTTTGAAAATGTTTAGCTCTATTTTTATGATTTTAAAAGCGAAGCTGGAATGCATACACCCTGATATTTTAAAGGATGAATTGCTCTTCTCCATTAGTTACTTGAGAACCAGATATTGCATGGCTCAAGGCTAGGAGGGCTATAGTACTAATAATAAAATCCTGTGGTGGTGGTAGATATAATAGAATCATAAATTTGGAAAGGACCCAATGGACCATCTAGTCCAACCCCCTGCAATGCAGAAATATGCAGCTGACCCATACAAGGATTGAACCTGCAACCTTGGTGTTATCAGCACCATGCTCTAACCAACTGAGCTATCCAGGCAGTGCTAGTATGTTTGTATCACCTGGAACAGGATAAATTCTCAGAGCACTGATAACAGCTTCTAGGAACTGGAATCCAAGAAGATAACTAGGTTCCCACAAGAGCCTGCCTCTTCAGCTATAGTTAGCAGCCCCACAGTTATCTTTCATCTGGATGGAGAACCTTATCATTAGGTGTTCTTGGGAAATGAAGATAATACCAGTCTTACAATATATCAAAAGTTTTGGCATTCCACTGGTCAAATTCTTTATTTGCTGCCTCCCATGCTTTATAAATTTCATTTCTTTCATTTTCATCAGTGCTGCTATCAGATGTGATGTCGGCTGCTATTGGTTTCCAGGGGGTGGGAGTGGGGAGGTATGGGGGGCTGATACCGGGGAAGTTGGACAGTCACTCAAAAATAAAAATAAAAAGAGGACAAAAGAAAACATATTTGCATAAGATACTATATGCTAATTTATATGTGTATAGATGCAAAGTTAGAAATAATTACTGTAACTGAGAAAGAAAAAGCATCTCATCATAGTGTGGAAGACAGCGACCAAGTGACCTGTGTGTACTGCTCAGTCTGCTACCAAGGTGCACATGGTTGATTTGCAACTTTCAGACCCCTTCTCTAGAAATGGACAAATCTGTGAATTCTAGTTTTTCTCAGATTCTAATTTTTTTTAAAACCTTAAATTCAGCCCTCTCCATTTCTGTACAGTTTGCTTTAACAAAACAAAAACAAAATCCAAAACTCTGCATGAAAAATCAGACCCATTTTGAATATACATTTTGTACGCAATTTTGCCTAATATACATAGTTTGCAAGCAATTCCCCCTAGTGTACTGCATTTTCCTGAAGTATTTTCCACTAATATATGCATTGGTGTGTGCACTCTTCTCTAATATACACATTTTTGTATGCATCTTTGTTTGTTGGAAAACTGCACTACAGAAGTGAGGATTTTGAAGGACAGATGCATGTTAGTTTGCACAGTGGTTTGGGAAGGGTGAATTAAGTAGGTGCACTTTAAAATGTGAATGTAATTTCTTCCCCACCTCTACCCTGCTTTCTCTTCTTATGGTTATTTATCTTTAAATCAGGCTTGGATCAGACAGCTCTTCAAATAAAGTAGGACACACAGCCATAATATATGCCAAGCAGGTTAGGGAGGATACCATATTCACTTGGTCAAGGTCACTATTTTGTCCATAAAAGACTGTAATTAAATTCCACACTCTCCTATGAACTCAATCCCTGTGATTCTTCTGCCTCTCCCATATTTATGAATACCCACAGGACTTCCGTGCACGTGAAACTATTGGAAGGCAGTGACTACAACACTGTAAACCTCTCCTTATCATGAGCTGTGCAGAATAATGCAAACAATATTGTGAGTGTAATTCATGGAATTAAAAATTAATAAAATAAATGTGTAGTGTGCTGTTTGAAAAACCTAGAGGCCATTGCAGTTTTACTCCTTGAAGGAAGTGTACGCCCATTAAGAAATGCAGCTGGAATTTTGTTAAGAGAGTCGTTAATATCATAAGCAGGTGGATGATAATTCATTGCCCTTTCTTTGTGCTGTGTGACTCTGACGCTCCTGAGGAAGTGAAGCAGCAAAAAACCTTTCTAAGTGAGGAAAACTTGCTCAGTCTCTACAGAGAAGGGCCATATTAGAGCTCTGGTCTGTGTATGTGTGAGAGAGGGTCGATGGGGGTAGGGCAGGCTATTTTTACCTAATCTCTTTGCTGAGAGGAAAGTAAGTCAGATGAATATTTTTACTAAAGAGGAGTCTGCTTTCTGGAACTGGGCCTAAGAAAGGGCAGTCCCTCTCTTTTAACTGACCGACTTGTAAGATATGCCTTTCAAGCTCACCCTCCTCCTTCACTCAATCCTTTCTAATGTTTCTTCATGCTTAATGCTAGCTCAGCTGTAGTAGTTGGGCTACATCTCCCAGGCCCCTGCAGCCTGAGGGATGGTGTTATATTCAACCTCTTCCTGTCCCCAGGAACTGGATCTGTCAGCAGAGAACAGCTAAAAATACCCTCATTTCCTTTAGAAATCAAGGATGCACATTGCCTGAACCTGGGCCTGCCCACCTCATGAGTGCCTAATCCTATCAACACATACCTCTTTGGCTATGTTTGTACCACCCCGCCCCATCTACACACAGCCAAGAAACCTAATTCCTTCATAGAAAATTAACTGTCTGCTTAAATCTCTCCTGCACACTTAAGTAAGGATGAATTCTTCCAATGCTCAAAGTTTTACTAAAGGTGCAGTTCTCTATAGCTCAGCATACCTCCGTTCTTATGAAGGGATGTACTGTTCAACTTAGTCCTACTTAAAGTAAAGGTAAAGGGACCCCTGGACTGATAGGTCCAGTCGCGGACGACTCTGGGTTGCGGCGCTCATCTCGCTTTACTGGCCGAGGGGAGCCGGCATACAGCTTCTGGGTCATGTGGCCAGCATGACTAAGCTGCTTCTGGCGAACCAGAGCAGTGCACGGAAACACCGTTTACCTTCCCGCCGGAGCGGTACCTACTTATCTACTTGCACTTTTACATGCTTTAGAACTGCTAGGTTTGGTAGGAGCAGGGACCGAGCACGGGAAAAAAAAAAAAAAAAAAAAGGAAAAAGAGGCTCACCCCGTCGCGGGGATTGAACTGCCGACCTTCTGATC